CGGGGGACTCCAGCTATGAGCCTCATGTGGGGCTGACAGCTCAGACTGTCAGCCCCAGGGAGGGTGGGGGTGTCTCCAGCTTTGAGCCCTGCATGGGGTTGACAGCCAAAAACAGGCAAAGTAACACATTGTCTACACAGACACTCTGTCACCCTGACTACCTCCACCTAAGGGCTACATTGCTTGCAAAGGTGGAGTTAGGAGGTCAGTGTAGCAGGCGATTTACATCGGTGGGAGCAATGTCTACCTTACGTCTTATGACTGCTTTATGTCGACCTAACTCTATAGTGTAGACCAGGCCTCAGTTTCAAATAGCCTGACACAAAAGAGCCTATTGGGGCAAGGCAGGTAAAGGACCACTAGATCGGTGCTTATGCTGATCCAGTCTCACTGCACCCTTTCATAGGAGTTAGAAGGGGCTGTAGTCACTGTTCAGGGCCACAGGCTGGAAGAGTGGCCATAGAAATTATGCACTGTACCTCTGTTGCCTGGCTGCAGGTTTGGGTATGGATTCCATCCTTTCCCTTCCTGCTGCTGTTGCGGAATTCCCAACACAAAGCCTGACTGTTTAGACCAAATGCGGCCACCAGGGGCTTTTCATGCGGCCACAACAGCCTCCTGGGCGGTGGCGGGGAGGAGGAAAACATTGGCGCCTCCCACTCCCTCCTTGTTGCTCCTCATTGCACCACCCTGCACTGCCTCTGGAGAGAGGTGGGGCACAATGCTGCAGGAACAAGGTGAGTTCTTGACCCACATTGTGGGGAGGGGGTTTGGGCGGCAGGCTCCAGCGCCAGGACGTCAGGAACCTGGCTATGCGGCCCCAGCCTCCGACCGCGGGGCAGCAGCTACTGACACACGCACACTCCGGCTCTGGCCTCCAGCTGCAGGGCTTCAGCTTCTGACGCCTGGTTCCAGCTGCGCAGCAGTGGGCTCTGATCCTGGCTCCAGCCATACAGTTCCTGTCCCTGGCTCCAGGTTCTGGCCGCGGGTACTGAGCCCCGGCCCTGGCCGCAGGGCAGCAGACATCAGGCTCTAGCCATGTGATAGTGGGGCTCATCACCAATCCCCATTGCCCCTGGCCCCTGCTGCCTCCCATGGCCCTGTATCCAACCCAGCACCCTGCTGCCTTCCTGGCTTCGCATCCATCCCCTCCATTGCCCCAGGCCCCCACTGCCTCTCCTGGCCCCACATCCATCCCACCATCACCTCTGGCCCCTGCTGCCTCCCCTTTCGCGCCCCCCCCCAATCCAGAGCTTAATGGGTCCTGGGGCTTGCTGAGAAAGGTGATATTAACAAACATGCAAGTGTCACTTTTCACAGCAGACTTACTAGCTATCTGTGAAAAGTGATACTTGTATGTTTGTTAATATCACTTATCACTTTTCATAGCCTCCCAGGTAGCTTAAGTGTGCTGTGATATTAACAAATATACAAATACCACTTTTCACAGCAAGCCCCAGGACCCATTAAGCCCTGGATGGCGGGGCGGAGTGGGGCAGCATTATTTTTATTATTGAGTCTGCCAAAAAAAACTACGAATATAAATTACAATGACTTGGATGTGAATTTATGCATTTTTAATTGTTTTTCCTAACGTTAATTAAGTATTTTAGGAAAAATTGTCAGTACAGCCAGAGTTGGTGGCTCTGGTATGAGGCCACCAAAAAATTAGTTGTGAGAACCCCTGGCTTAGACTTTGGGAGGAGCAGGCAGGATGAATTTCACCATGAAAGAGCTGCAGAGAAAATATTGATCAATGCTGTAGTTTAAGTTCACTCGTTTAGTCATCTACCTGAGTGAAGGAAGTACAAATGCAAAGTGCAAAGACAAATGCAAAGTGCA